GTTGATGTCTATTAATTTAGGTTGTAAGCCTAGTGAGCTGTCCCAAGGTACCAAGAGGGGGGGTAATTGGCTAGTTTAAAAAAATTAAAATTTAAGACCCCCTTTTTTTTTATATTTTGAGAAAAAGATTTTCAAGCACACGAGTTTAAACTGAAATAGAGAAGTGGGAAATGTAAAAAAGTAAAGTAAATGACATCCACGATTTATAGTGGTTCGGTCTTATACCAGCCAGAACTCATCACTCCTCAGAGACACTCTCTGAGTATTGCACTTAATACAATAGTACTCTCCTTTGCCCCACAGCAAGGCGGAGAACGCCTTACAACACACTCTTTTCACCACTCCGCAGGTGCGGCAAGAACCGTCCGTCCTTACACAATACTCCAGTGTTGCAGAATGATCACTCCTTCCTTTCACACTCTCTAGTGTGGGCAAGAACCCTTCGTCCTTTCACACTCTCCTAGTGTGGGCCAGAGAACCCTTCGTCCTTTCACACTCGCCTAGTGTGGGCAGAGAACCTTCGCTCCTTTCACAGCTGCTCCTAGTGTGGTCAGGACCATTTCGTGCTTAGTCATACTCTCTCAGTGTCGCGGCAGAGACCGAATCTCCTTGACAGATACTCTCCGCTCCAAATCTAGAAGGAAGAAAGAAATGAGTGAATAAACCAATTCACAGCTAACGAGATCTACTTGAAACTCAAGTGAGGCCTCTGCTTCTAGGTGAGGGAATCTTCCCTTGAATGCTCTCTTCATACTCTCTCCTTGGCATTCCTAATGAGGTCAACGAAGATCAAATGAACAAAAGATTGGGATGCAAGTGCTAATTTGGGGCTATTGATACAAAGCAAAAAACGTGCCAAAAACTGCAATGTTCAATCGATCTTTGGTTAAAAAAAACGCAGGTTGGGGGATATTTCGTTCTGTATTGACGTGGCATCGTAAACCTGGAATGATTTTACTTAAACGATCTGAAGACACCCTATTGAATATGTTGAAAGTGTCTTCGTACGCTGATGTTACAACATTCTCCAGGTTATCGGCTTCCTCCGAGACCTGCGAAAATATTGTCTTCTCATAAAAACCAACTTCCTCCTCCAGATCAATCTCCATCTTCATCGGCATTTTCTCTGCGAAATTTTTGGCTTCTCTGCGAAAATTTTGATTCTAAGCGTTATATATTGCGGTGATTCGCGCGCGCCTTAAATTCTGAAAAAAGAAGCGCCAACCTAAATCTCCCGGGTCGGGCTGAAAGACGGATCGGATTTACGAAGTTTACACAAATCAATTGACTGTTTAACCCTTTCCAAGTAAGCAACCGAACACATCGTTTTTTGATCGGATTCCACACCGAATAATTTCTCAGAAAACACAGGCTCGTCGGATCTAATTTTAGAGTCATATAAACGCAACAGTTTTTTCTCATCACCCCTTCACTCTTCAGCTGTGGCGTCCCCCAGTTCCGCTCTATAATCTTCTACGGCGCTCTTCGATGGCTGCGCTGGCCTCATCTGATCGCCGCTGCCGTCTCCGCCTCCGGTAGCGCTGTACTCTGCTCTTCACACGCTGTAAAAACAATCGTCAATTCCTTTTCTCTTAGAAAGGTCATGCTTAGAAAGGTCATGAGGAAAGGAAAGGGATCTCAGACAGTTTCGTTTTAGATCATTAATTACCGTTCTTAAAAAACATCGGTGCACAAGAGGGTTTGGCTTTGTTCGTTCTCCTATTTTTTTGGCCGTCTTTCCCGCGTGTTCCCTTCGTGGGTTAGACATGGAGGAGAGTTTGGCGTGCAATTGGGGTGCCTTCCGTGCCATACTCGCCATTCTACAGTGGTGGGGATTCAACGTCACTGTGATCATAATGAACAAGTGGATCTTCCAGGTCCTTCTCCTGAGCTTGTTCTTGTAACAGATTTTGATTAATTATGCTTGATTTTTGCTTTTTTTGAATTATTTTTTTTTAAAAATTGATTTTTGCTTATCTGCTTTCCAAATCTCTCTTTTTTAGGGTTTGGTATTTGTGTCGGCTCTCATACTTGATTGGTGATGTTCTTTTGAAAACAACATTTGTTTGCGTTAATTATGTGATCTCCTTTTGCCTTTTTTATTGGATGCTCGTAACGGGGAATGGTCTGTGTTGTTTCTATTGCATTTGGGTAGCTATCAGAATTGCTTGTTTTAGGTTTACTTGATTTGTTTCTGAACTGAAAAGAGACTATCATGGAAGGTAGGGGGAGTGGAGAAATGGCGATGATAAATACTTGCGAGAATGGAGATTGTATGTAGATCCCAGGAAGGTCTAAGGTTTGATAAATCTGAGGCGCAGGACATATTGTTTTGAACTTGTAATGCTTAATGATAGTTAAATAATTCATTTACAAGTTGGTGGTTTGATATCAGATAAGATCAGGATAGTTGTGAATCTAAAGAGTAATGTGAAAGTGCTGAATTGCTTTTAAAGGAATTACAGAAAACTATGAATTGCAGGGTGGATCTATCTTGGGGGGCAGTGTTAAATTCTATTTTAACAGTAAATTCCTCTGCTCAATGGTTTCTTATTTATCATTCTGGCACACTTTCATCATAACGTTAGCATGTTTTTTTTGTTTTTTTTTGGTTATGCATTTCATCTGTTGTAGCTCTTGGTGTAGTATTTTGAGATGGATCCTAGAAGGGGTTGATTAAGAAGGAGTTTTGCATTTTATCATTCTAAACTGATATCTGCTGTGTGATGTATGGCGATTAGGTTCCTGCATTGCATTCTTGAAGGTTTGATCCTTTGTGCGTAAATTTTTTTTAAAGCGTTGTCATAGCCATCTTTTCTGCTGTGCAGAGCCTCTTGCCTGTTCTTGGGTATTTTTTTTTTGTTTTTTGTTTTGTCCTGTGGTATAACTATTCTTGATTTTAGCAAGGTTTAAAATTGCGTAATTAAGCCTCGAGGCGGTTTTCGTCCGTGAGGCGAGGCGTAAGCCTCGAGGCGGTCTGAGGCGTAAGCCTCACGGACACAGAATTGCGTAAATGAGAAATTAAGGGTTTTTCTTACAATAAAAAAAACATAAACCCTAGATTTTTTTACACTTGAAAAATCTAACCGTAAACTAAAAAAAAATACCTAAAATCTAATGTGGAGTACTCCTAGAGGGCGGCCGGAAGTTTCAACTTCGCCGGAGAGAGGCGGCGGCGGCGGGAGAAGCGGCGGGAAGGGAAGCTGGCGGGTAAGGACCGTGCGGGAGCTCTCTGTTTCGCGAATTAGAGCCGTGCGGGTAGGAAAAATTCGGGAGGAGCTGCTGTCGTGCGGGTTTAAGGAGAAAAAAACATTCATTTTAAGTGGGTGGGTCCATTCCCATGAGGCGTACGCCTCACTAAGACTTGCGCAATTGCGCCTCTGAGGCGCGCCTCAGTCCATGTGAGGCGTACGCCTCTGCCAGGGATGGAATTGCATAAGCTTCGAGGTGGTTTTTGGACGAATTGCGCAGAGGCGCGCCTCTTATTGCGCAATTTTAAACAGAGAATTTTAGGTTTCCATTTAAATGGTTAGCATGTTAAAAATCAGTTAAAATTTGAAACCTCAGAATTATTTGTACTTAGAAAATTTAATGATACCTGTAACTAACTTATACCCTAAGTGCCATAGTCATTCAATAATCACTTGAATTTCAATTGAGTAGAAATTGATTTATGTTGAGTTGAATATGACTTGATTTAAAATGAGTTGGTTCAAATGGAAATCAACTTGATAAACTATACTTGAACATGCATATGTATATCTGTGATGAAACAAAAGCTCTCTTTCACAAAAGAGTATTGTATATTGCTTAAAGAAATTTCCCATTTGCCTAGCTTATTTGTTGCATATAGAAGTGTCTGATTTTGTTGCTCCAAACATTTTAGGAACCACCGAATAGATCTTGTTGCCTTCTACAAAATCCTTCCTTGTTAAGACAATGCACCTTGAATAATCATTCCCTTTACTTTGTTCCATAATGCACTTTATATCATGAGACCTCTATTTCACCTTAGTTCTTACCAGCTATAAAGTGAATTTTATATCATGAGTCCCCTATTACACCTAAGATCTTATTTAAATTATGAATTAAATCATCCATTATGGACTAGTAAGGCTTCCATCATTTCATCTATTAGAATTCAGTTGTTTTGCCTTGGCTAAAAGCCAAGGGAACAAATAAGCTTGCTAAAATGAAAAGAAGCCTATAAGGAAATTGACACAACCATTTAAAATTGCACTGCATTAGGGCTCCCGATTCGCTTGCTTACATGATTCTAGGCTAAATGAGGAATCAATCTTAGCCTCCCGGTCTTGTTAGAAAACCAATTTTTTCCTATTCATAGAAAGTTTTAAGCAATGTTAAGTTACGAAGAAAATAACGTTTACTTGCACAATTGGATGTGCAAGTACAATACTTAATTATAATAACCTATTTTAGAATTCGACTAGTTGCAAGAAATTCAAATTATTGAAAGTGCTAAGCTCTAGTCCTTTTCCATTATCCTCTTTCCCTTAGTTCCATAGAAAGGATTGAAAAAGAGTTCTTCATTGATTTTTGGTGGCATAAAAAAAGGAGAGCTAGCTATGGAGTGATTTCAAACAAAAGGAGCATAGGGAGCTTGTTGTAGCACCTTACACTAATCTTCTACTCCTTTCTAGAAGATGTAAAGAGGTGTACCATCGCTAGTGTAGCCGTTTTATATGCAAAAATATTTATATTTAAGTATAAGAGCAGGGTGTCAATATTAAGTGAGGATTGTTTAAGTTTTGATTATTAATGACTTGACCAATTTTGTCATCATATTTTATGACTTGGGATATCATTGAGGGTTGTAACTTATGAAGAACCCAATAATCATGAGCGCAAACCACCTTATAAATCATAAAGCACCCAAGGGTCATAAGCACAACCTTCCCTTAGGTGAGCCATGTCATTAGTACCTATGTTCTAGAGAGCAAGGTTTAAAATTGCGTAAATAACCCTCGAGGCATTTTTCGTCCATGAGGCGAGGTGTAAGCCTCGAGGCGGTGTGAGGCGTAAGCCTCACGGACAAAGAGTTGTGTAAATGAGAATTTAATTATTCTAGCAAGTAAATAATAGTAAGAGTCTATCATACAATAAAAACATCTAAATGAGAAGTGAAATTAGTGGAAAATAATAAAATAGATGCAATATATGCATCTCATAGCATAATTAAAAGTACTAAACCACAAATATAAGTCTATTAATTCTCCCAAAGTACAAATAAGAAAGAACATTTAAAATCCAATCATGTCCCATCACTAAATGGGTCTTCAAGGGAAGCATCTTCATCTCCAATTGTATCTATGAATGTCAAATCTTCATCAAATTCAATGTTACCCACTTTTCCTTGCCCTTAACTATATTTCCTAATGCAAAAATGCAAAATCAAACCAAAAATCTCAAAAAAATTTAAACCTTAGATTTTCTATAACTTGAAAAATCATACCTTGAATCTATGTCACAAATATGCTGAGGGATCTAAGGGGGCGCTGCCCCCTGGCGGGGTTCAACCTGGCTGGTCAGGTCGCGGGGTCAAGGGGCAGTGCCCTTGCGGTGGTTTCCGGGAGTAGCGCCCTCAAAACAAATTTTTATTGTAAGAGTTGTTTTAAAGCTTTCTCTAGCTTCTTGATGCCGAGCAATACCGAGCATTGATACTGAACATGGTATAGAGCATTGCAGAGAGGTACTGAGTTCCGGTACGGAGCAGTACCGAGTGGTATCGAGTACTAAGCGGTACCAAGTTCCGATAGTAGAGGTGTGGTAAAGGGTGGCCGGACACTAGAAGCTCACCTGCGTAAGGCGGCTCCGGCGGGAGAGGCGTCGGGAAGGCCGGCCGAGGGAAGCTAGGTCTCGGCTCTATGAGGCGTGTGCCTCACCCAATATTGCGCAATTGGGCCTCTGAGGCGCCCCTCATGGATCCTGAGGCGTAAGCCTCACCTAGACCCAAAATGGCTTAAGCAATTAGGCTCTTGGGGGTTAAATTGTGCAGAGGCGCGCCTCTTATTGCACAATTTTAAACTATGCTAGAGAGTTTGATGTTTTAAGGAATAAGGAGATCGGGATGACTCGTCTTCAAGTTCAAGATCTTAAATATAAGGGCTAATATGTGAAAAGATGCTAATGGAATATTTCATCCTAAAATCTTAGCTCTTATGGATAATGTTCTTAATAAATAATACAGAGGAATGAGTCAAAACTAGGCTATGCTCTTATCTTTCTAAATTTGAGGATCAATTGATTTTAAGGGACCAAAAAAATGGACATGGCCCTTCTTTGGGTTGTCCATGTCATCATCAAGTCAAAATAGTCCAATGATGTGGACATTCCACTCAAAGGTGAAATGTCACATCGCCATATTTATGGAATGCTAAAACTCATTATATATCACTAAATAGATCAAGGCCCATTAAGCTTACCTAGTGAGAGATCAAAGGCTATTTTGGCCAACTAAGGTCAATTTTGTCAACTAAGGGTAAAACTATTTATCCTTTGATGTATTAAGCTAAATTGGTCACGATGGGTCTACTAAACCACCTACAAAGCAAATATGTATAGAAAAATCTTTGGGCTTTGGGGTTGGCTTATAACCTAATGGGTTAGCTTACACCTAAGGTTTATAAGGATTTGAAATGCTAATAGGGAAAGCCACTGAATAATCTCGAAGCCACTTTAAGATCATGTTCGAAAATCCTCTAGTAAAACTATCGACTAAGGCAAGTCAGTAAACCTCCTTAGGTTCACTAACCTAACTGAAGGTTAATGCTTGAAGGGTGAGCACGTGAATCACCCAGGGCTGAGTAGGTCAATTTATGTCAAATCAAGTTCAACTTGCTCTAATCCTAGCGGACTA